GGGGGGGGTACGTCCGCGGAAGCGGGGGCTCCGCAGCAGCAGCAGCAGCAGCAGCAGCCGAGGTTCTTGCCGCAGCGCATGCTGATGGACGAGGTCGTGGAGCGGGTGTGCGACTGCGACCTGGAGACGGAAGACGTGCAGCTGCAGGTCATCAAGGCGTTGGTGCACGCGTGCACGGCCACGACGCTGTCGGTTCACCGGGCCAGCCTTCTCACCGCCGTCAAGACCATCTACACCGTGAGTGCTACTGTGGTAGTGGTAGTAGTGGTAGTATTATACGTACCAGAAGCCGCCGTCTTTGCTCCGCCCGCCCGTCCGTGGTAGAAGCGCGTTGGTTGGGGGGGTTTGCTCGAGTGGTTTGCGGAGTGTTTATTTTTGTTGTGGTGTTCATGGGTGTTTTTTAGGGAAGTTGCGATGGCACCAAGCACGGTTGTTACTGCTGTCTCGTATTTGTGGTTGTTGGTTCTGGCAGGGTTGTTCGTCAAGCCTGGTCGGGCTGGCTGAGGCGACCTTTTACACCGCAAGACAGCACGCCTCCGTTGTTCCTGTTAGAACGCCAGGACTCATGTCCCCGGGCGGAGGTCAGGGATGGTTGAATGATTCTGTTAGAGCTCTAACGCTGATGGATTTTGTTTTTTGTGGCTGTGTCGACGTCGTCATTTGGCATTGGTCATGCTGTGTCACCGGGAAAGTCACAAGAGAAAGGCGCCATTCTCAACTGGGTTCACCAAATGATACGATATGCGCTGTACTTGCCTGTGTTTCCGCAGGTGCACCTCAGCACGCACGACTCCATCAACAAGAACACCGCCAAGGCCAGCCTGCAGCAGATGCTCAGCGTCGTGTTTTCCAGGATGGAGGCAAAGGACGCGCAGCTCAAGGAGGTCAGTCATGATTTGACGACGAAGCCTGCACCTCTGTATGGTCTCTTGTATATGTAACGAGAAAGAAGCATGCCAAATGGATTCTTGGTTTCTTCCGTTGGCAGATGGACCCTTCCCTCCGTGAAAACATTGCCATGGTATCGTACCATGTTTTTTTTTACGTTGGCGGTGACACTGCGAATTGTTTGGGGTTCGCGCTATTCGCGCGCGACACACACACGCATTCAAGATATTCCTGCAGCACTGTGTACTTGTCAAACGGCGGACGGCTTGCCTATTCAACCCAAGGCAAGGCACGTACACGACCATAGCATGCCATACTAAGGGTATTAACTCATGTACCGGCGATGCCCTAACAAACCGCCACCTGTAAGTTCACTTTATAGTGAACAGCAACCCCGCTTGTGGTTGCACAACCGATGGCAATACACCGACGGCATTGACCGCACGCACAACTTGCACAAAGCGTACGAACAGACACCAAACACCATATGAGCGTATGACTATTTCACAGCATTGTGCGGTGAGAACGAACGGAATGTTGTTGTTCGGTGTGCCTCAATAGGGACTCCATGACTACGCGCGCCCCCCTCTGTCGTAAGATCTGCGTTTCTGTTTTATGACAACTTTGGCTAACGTGCCCAAGTCGCGTACGTTCGCCTTGCTGTTCAATTATCCCGAGCGCAGGAGGCCGCTGCAGCAGCCGAACTGGAAGCGTTGCGCGAGTCTGATCCGCTCAACTACCCAAGGCCGCCCCCGCCGGAGCCTGAGCCGGAGCCGCAGCCGGAGCCCATGCCCGAGCCCGTGTTCAACATTCCGGATACCATGTACAAAGAGGTGAGATGTGTTGTTGGCTGTAGTTTGTGGTGTACACTGAGCCCCTGCCCCCGCGACAGGATTGACGAAACACTGGTCCGCTGTGTGTGTGTGCGTGCTCTGCCACCGCAAGAAGCGGGACGTACACCCGCACTGTCGCCAGGGTTTAGTTATCGTGGTTTGCACACATGTGCGTCCTCGGGAGTAGGTTTCGGAGTCTTTTTGCGCGACAACGTAGGCGACAACGTAGGCGAGGGTGCTGGACACTGGTGCCCTGTCGTTTGCCATGTTGGTCAAAACTCTCGTGCACTGGTTTATGTCACCTACCAGTACGAAGGAGTAAATCAAGGTCCTGCCCCCTGCCCCACCGCCACAGCCCCTGTATCGCCCATCGTAGCCACCGCTGTTATCCCCCTTGTTCCGTTGGCGATCCCACCAAGACTTCGGAGATTTCGGAGATTCCGCCGGTTTCCCTCACCCGTCACCCCTGAGAGGCGCTGGAAACCTCTTGGTATCTTGATCTATCCCCGGGCTTGTGTGAAGTAGTCACCATTTACGATTTCCGGCGTTAACCCGAGAAAGGATAAGAAGGATGGCAAAACAACTCTGTTTACAGGGCAGTCGGTCCCCTATGGTTGTGCTTGTTGCATGTACTGAGTCGGTGTGCCGCGCCTCCCTGTGCGAAACCGATGCGCCAGGTGGCTGAAGCGATGGAGATGCCGGAGCTGTACAAGACGGTACCAGAGCTGCCGCCGGAAGAGGTCTCGGCGCGACGGAAGCGTTACAGGTAAGCGAGAGCGTGTCTTGCGTATTTTTTTGTCGCCCGGCGGAGTGTTAAAGCAATAGCGGTATCCCTCTCACACTCAACACTCTTCGACCACACTGCTGTATCGGTGTTTGGTGTGTTGGTAGATACGTGCCTCGTGAGCGAAGTGATATCGGTATGATTAATAGATTCAGGAAGACATTTTTGAGCCACCTTTGGCAAAGTGATTGGCCATCGGTGATCGGTCCTGTGGGAACAATGCTCCCTGTGGGAACAATGCTCCGTCCTCGAGGGCGCGTGGTCAATGGTCTAACCGCTAAGGCATGCAAAACATAAGAGTACGCCCCCCCCCCCCCCTCCTCCTCGTCTACCGTCAGGCGAGCCTTGCGCGGGTACCAGAGGCGTCAGTGGGAAGCCACGACGGTGCAGCCGTTCGCGTCCGTGGAGCACGAGGACGCGTTCTTGCTCTTCAGGGCGCTGTGCAAGCTCAGCCAGAGGCCGGACCACGCGGGGACCGGGGACGGGTTGGCCGTGGCCCCTACCGCGGAGGAGGCGAGGCAGATGGAGAGCAAGGCCGTCAGCCTGGTGAGCCTCTTACCACTGCTGCCCCCTGCTTTTTTTCTCCCTCGCAACACTGCACGCTACGTATCGTTTCCCGGGGGTTGCAAGAGGGCTGACTGGTACCTGTCGTTTCCCCCGGATATTGTCGAGAGCGAATTCTGTAATGCTGTAGTGTTTTTCTATTCCACGTATCGGCGTCAGTTGTTTGGTGAGAGCTAGGCTAGAGTGCGTTGGGTTGAGCGCTTCGGAAGCGAGAGAATTTGGGAGCAAGGTGACAGCCTGATGGAGGTTTTACGCGTGTGAAAACACATGCCTCTTAGAAGCGGTCTTGTTGTTGTGATGGCAATCGTTGTTGTTGCTGTTGCTGCTGCTGTTGTGGTTACTGTTGTGGTCGCTTATTGCTCTTGTTGTGAGCCAGACCAAACAGCAGCGTGGAAAAGTCATTGTTCTGCGGCAGATATTTTTGGTACGATGAGGGCAAAACAGAAGCCCCCCCACTCTCGTAAGAAGGGAAAGTTCCTGATACAAGGAAGTCCAGGGTAGGCACGATGTTCCGAGTTTTTTTTTATCTTTGCGTTGAGACCAATGGTGTGTGTACGGTGTTTGTGCAGCCGGGTCGGAAAGACGCCAAGACTGTTTCATGACAGCAATCAGCAATCCCTTGGGTGTGAGATGCTCGTTGAAACATGCTTTCAAACCATGCTTCTCCAGGTTGGGCCGCCCGCTCGGCTCCACCCTCCACGTAACCCCCCTCCCCGCCCCTCCCCTCCCCTCCCCAGGTTGCGACCATGCGCAAGCACCCTGCGAACAATCGTTGTTTACGCCAGGGACCATCATCTCACAAAAGTTTGTCACCATCTTGTTTCGCCCTCTCTCCGCCCAAAGTTGTCTTCTTCCGCTCACAAGCATGCACCCTTTGTCCCCCTCCGTCTCTCCCGGCTTTCTTTCTTGTCAGGAAATGCTCCTGACGATCGTGGACAACAGCGGGCCAGGCTTTAGGGGCTCTGAGAAGTTCATCCTGGCCGTACGGCACTACCTCTGTGAGGCTCTGCTGCTCAACTCGACGTCGTCCAACAGGGCCGTCATGGAGCTCAGCCTCAAGATCTTCAAGCCCATGTGCAGAGACTTCAAGGTCGGTCGATCGTCGTTGTTGCTGCTGTCCTCGCGCGCACCGTGGGCACCCCATTTCTTGCGCAAGCTTGTTTAGAAGTACTCTTTTAGCATCGTAGTTGTGGTTGGTAGTACTGTATGATATCATCCAGCACCGGTCCTTAGTGTTGTGCATGAGTCCCAAGCCCATGGCAACGCCAACGCAGCGGTCCTTTCAACCGACTTGCACTCGATTCTGATGAGCGCGTGCGTGCGGGAAAAACTCAAGCTACATATAACCGGCTTTACACTCGATTCTGATGAGCGCGTGCGTGCGGGAAAAACTCAAGCTACATATAACCGGCTTTACACTCGATTCTGATGAGCGCGTGCGTGCGGGAAAAACTCAAGCTACATATAACCGGCTTTACACTCGATTCTGATGAGCGCGTGCGTGCGGGAAAAACTCAAGCTACATATAACCGGCTTTACACTCGATTCTGATGAGCGCGTGCGTGCGGGAAAAACTCAAGCTATATATAACCGACTTTACACTCGATTCTGATGAGCGCGTGCGTGCGGGAAAAACTCAAGCTATATATAACCGACTTTACACTCGATTCTGATGAGCGCGTGCGTGCGGGAAAAACTCAAGCTACATATAACCGGCTTTACACTCGATTCTGATGAGCGCGTGCGTGCGGGAAAAACTCAAGCTATATATAACCGACTTTACACTCGATTCTGATGAGCGCGTGCGTGCGGGAAAAACTCAAGCTACATATAACCGGCTTTACACTCGATTCTGATGAGCGCGTGCGTGCGGGGAAAACTCAAGCTATATATAACCGGCTTTACACTCGATTCTGATGAGCGCGTGCGTGCGGGAAAAACTCAAGCTATATATAACCGGCTTTACACTCGATTCTGATGAGCGCGTGCGTGCGGGAAAAACTCAAGCTACTTATCGGGGTCCTCATCACCGTCTGAACCGTCCCGTTCCCGTCAATGCTCTTGGTTGTACGCATAGCCGTACCTTATTTTGTTTGCAACGCCCAACCACCCTTGCCGTCCCAGCACTTTGCAAGAATGTTTTACTAGGAACTTGATGCTACGGCACGCCTTGATCAGCTCTGACCTTCTGTATCTTCTTCTTCTTCTTCCTCGCAAGAACTCGAACGATGCCATGTACGTACCATCGATATTTATCTTTTTTGTCTTCTACATGGACATTTTTTTGTGTTTTGTTTTTTTTGCCCGGTCAGGCTCACCTCAAATCTCAGATCGAGGTGTTCATCACGACCGTGTTCCTGCGGGTGTTGGAGAGCGAGAATAGCACCTTCGAGCACAAGCGGCAGGTGCTGGACGTGGTGACTGCCTTCAGCGACACGCCCCAGGCTCTTGTGGAGATATTCCTCACGTACGACTGTGACCTTCACGCCATCGACCTCTACAACCGCATCGTCAACGCCCTCTCCAAGGTGCCCGTTTTTTCTTGTATCACAGCAAATCCGTCCCCCGATCCATAGACAAAGGTCTACTACTGGAATAAATTGGCAAGTAATTCATAGCGGAGCACTATTGTGATTTTTTTTTTTCTTGCAAGAACACGTGAAAAGAGGGAATCGTCCTCGACAGACGGTCTCCACAAACACAAGGATTTGATAATTCATCTCCACCCACAGATACGTAAAGAGTCCGGGATGAGAATTTAGACTTTATACATTATTCATATTTTTTGCTCCTTTCATTTTTTTTTGTTCCTCGCTGCCCTTTGTGTTTAGCTTGAACCCTGCCCTTTTTTTTTCCTCCGTGCGTGCTTGTGTTCAGCTTGATTGAACCCACGCATGGTCAAAGAACGCCCTCTCACGTTTGTCTTAGTTTCACTACTCTCGTATGTTACCGCATCGCCAACCCCTTGTTTGCAGATCGTTTGTTTGCTGATCTTAGCTGCATGTGCCTTTGCAAAACATGTACCTATGTATTGAAACACACGCGCGTTTACTCGAGTTGATACGGAGATTTCCGTTGCAGTACTGTGGCGGGCGTTGTTGCTGTTCGGTACATGACGGAGGATCCAGCAAAACCTGCCATTTTCAGACAAGCTCATCCGACGTTCTTCTCGAGACAGTAGATAAAAAGCTACTGCTGCATGTCCGGTCAAAGAACGAGCGGCGAGTCTTGCGGGGGATGCCAGACGACAAGCCCGCTCTCTCAAAAACAGTTGCGGCGGCACTTGTACCGTCTAGTTTTCGAGCGTACGGTTACTTACACACGGCGCGCTGCTCTTGTGAATCAGATTTCGAAGGGGCGCGGCATGAGCAACTCGGACGTGAGCAACAATCCTGGCCTGCTGCGGGAGGAGAGCTATCTGCGCAAGAAGGGCTTGGAGGGCCTGGTCAGCATCCTCGAGAACATGCTCAGGTGACCAAAGGGATGCAGAGACGTTTGGAGAGCGGATGTTGGAAAAATGAGCCTAATGTTGAATAAACTACGGTTACGTTCAGTATGTTGCATGATTGAAGCGGAAAGAACCGTTCTTCGGAACTATCTCCAACACGCAACACGGTCGGGTGATGGACGAGGACAGCGTTAAGAAACAAGCAGCATTGCTAGGAACTGAGAGAAAAAACATTGGGAGAACGGGAACATGTCAAAACAATGCCCAGGCAACCAGCTACAAGAACGGAAACAATACAAGAAGAGTCCGTCCTGTCGTTTGCATCCTCGACCTTTGTCCACCGGTCGAAGTGAAAAAATAAATTGCCAAGAACTCGACGAAATGCGGACTATGTCGGCAAGCCCTTTGCAGTTCAACACACCTTCTTGGACTGTGTCAGCCTGCTTTGCTGATGCCGCCAAGTAGCGAATTGTCAGCAGTCATCCATGATGAACACACAATCCCGTACCCCCCTACCCCAAAATCGAACCACCAAAGCTGCGTGGCCAGCGATGTGAGTGCAGACATGCAGGACCACGGTGATGTCTTGGACGGGAACCGGCAGATCTCCGGAGACATTGGCGGGGATAACGCCGACTCCAACGGCTCCTTCGGCGACACGTTGGGGTCTACGGCGAGCAGCGTTATCGTTGCCGGCGGCGTCGGCGGGGAGCAGGGAGAGCTGGACATGAAGCAGTCTCCGGTGTCGGTGGTGCAGGAGTATGACCGCAAGAAGAAGCTGGCCGGCGATCTCGGGAACGGTTTCGTGCGGTTCAACCTATCGCCTGCCAAGGTGGGTGGAAAACCTGCTCTTACGACGCGCCTTGGTGGTGTCTGGGGCAAACGAACGGACGAAGGAAAGTATCGACGGTTTCAGTAGTGGCGGGTAGTGGCACATATCCCTTCGGATGGCCAGGTTTCTACGCGGGAGACATGACTGGTGCACATGCTGTTTACATGTAGCGAGAGAAGAATACGGAAAAAATGAAGAACGTTCGTAGAAAATAATAATGAAATATACTGAAGAACGATCGTAGAAAATAAAATATACTGAAGTAACGATCGTGAAACGTTGGAACCTGTGTCCCGTCCTGTGTAGGGCGTGAGCTACCTAGTGGAGAAGGGCATGCTGGTCTACGAGCCCCGCGCGGTGGCTACGTTCCTGCTTGAGAACTGCGACAAGCTCGACAAGACGCAGATCGGGGAGTATCTCGGCAAGGAGATCCACTACAAGGACGGCTTCTGCGTCCAGGTGTGTACATTTAGTGCCGGTTTTGTGTCCAGAGATTTTACCGGCATTATACCGGACACCGGCACAATTCAGAGTACAGAATGACTTGGTATTTCAGTGTGTGAGCCGAAAGCACCGACACTATACCGGCACCCGGCACCATTCGACCGGCGCTATACAGGGCCCACCACTCTATCTGTCCTGTACTGCCCAAAACACAACACCAAGAAGAAGAACAAAATTTCGATGTAGTACGGAGTGCGTTGAAGTTGCCTTCACGTTAAGGACCATTCGGTCCTCTGCGTTGTACTGTACGTATCTGCTGACGCCCGTATTACGGATCTGGCGCCTTCCGTGATCACAATTGGCTAGCGAATTAAACTACTCAGTAGGGTGCATATGTTGTATGAAAAATAAACAAATGAAGAATAGGATCAGCATATCAACACGCGATAGAGGTTTAAGAAAACTGAAAAAGTTGTCCAAGTAGTCAGACTTAGCAGCAGGTTGACACGTCCGGCAAAATAGATCGACAAACTTGTGGATCAGGCTATAATGAACCCTTGCTACCGTTGCTGCTACAAAAAATCCCCAACCAAAAACTACATGGTACCGTAGGTGCTGCACGAGTACGTGGACATGATGGACTTCAAGGGGATGCGCTTCGATGACGCGATCCGGCACTACCTGAGCGGCTTCCGCCTCCCCGGGGAGGCTCAAAAGATCGACCGCATGATGGAGAAGTTCTCAGAGAGGTTCTGCCTGCAGAACCCCACCGTATTCCCGTCGGCCGACACGGCGTTCATCCTGGCCTTCAGCATCATCATGCTCAACACGGACCTGCACAACCCCGCCATCAAGGTGTGCAACTCCAGTGGACATGCGTTTTTTTTTTTGCCGTAGAGTCGTGTGTTTTTTTTAGGGGCGTCCCCGCGCGGTGCTTCTACGGTATTCCGCGATTGTGTTTGCTGCTGCTGCTGCAAGTTTGTGTGTTGTTTTTGTTTGCATCGACCTCGCTAACCGGCTGACCAATGAAAGCGCGTTCGTCTCAGTGATGCTGAAAGCACCAAAAGCTTCTCAAGGCTATATTATATCATCTGGGTCTCCATGAGGAGGCATGTGTGTTTTTTATTAGCAGCGACCGCGCTAATCGGCTGACCATTGAGAATGATGAGACCTCAAGTAAGTCTTGTAGCGGGATTTTTGAGTGTTTGTGAGTGTGTGTTTTTTTGTTCTCTTCCTCGCAGCACGCGTTACTGCGCCTGGTTTGCGGCGCTGCGAGCTAGATTTCGGCGTGTTGAGAAAGACACAGAACCCCCACCGTCATATACCATCCTTGTTGACGATCACAACAACTTCCACTCCAAAATACCAACAAACTTACGCCGGCAGGAGGAGCGCAAGATGACTCGGGAAGGCTTCGCCGCCAACAACCGCGGCATCGCCGCCGGCGGGAACCTCGAGGAGTCCTTCCTCAACGAAATCTTCGACCACATCAGAGCGAACCCGATCTCACTGAAGGAAGACGACCAAGCTCGAGAGAAAGGGGAGACGCAGGTGGGGTCACACGAGACCAGACCAGTTGGGCTACAGAAGATACTTGGATACATACCGCCATCTTGGACAAAACGGGACAACATGGTCGCCATTTGTGTTTATATGCACATAAGAGACTCGAGCCCTTAGTTGTTTCTTGTCGGGTGTCCTCATGATTTCGTTTTTTTCCTGCTTTGTTTTGTTTTGTTTTTCAGACGGGGGCGGCTTCGGCGTTCCCGCTGTACTTCACAGCCGGCCCATCGCTCCGGCAGAAGAGGGAGGCCTTCAACAAGGAGCGCGAAGACATGATCAAGGACACCGAAGCTCTCTTCCGCCTCAGGAAGAAACAGGCGTCGGCGGCCAAGGCCCAGGTAGATACTGTACCGTTCCTTTGGAACCACGGCAACACCCTCTGCAGATCTTACTTTCTCCCCCCCCCCCTTTTACAACGCTGTGTAGACAACGAAAAATATGTACCACATTTATATTCCGCATCAATGACACCCTTTGGCTGCAGCCGACAGTATACAGTGATACTTTTTTTGTTTTCAATGGTTCGCGTACGCGTACATCAATTGTGCCGGCTTGATCGCCACACCACCCTCTTGGTACCGAAAGTCCGTCCGTGGTCCGTGGCATGTCGCAGCACTCACTCCACCCATTACCGAACCACCACCACCTACTCCGCGGACCCCCCGTTGCTTAACCAACCAAAATCAGGCGCTGGCAAAGGCGGCGGAGGCGGTGGCCGCGGCTAAGGCGGAGGCTGAGGCCAACGAGGCCGAGGGTAGGGTGCCCGGGGCTGTCAAGGCCATCGAGGCCAAGCTTGCCGGTGGCGATGGTCTCCCGCCGCCGACGGTGGCCGTGGCCCTTCGAGCGGACTCTGCCTCGGAGGGGAGGAGGGACGTCGTCAGGGCCATGTTTGAGGTCGCTTGGTGGCCCATGCTGGGCGCGTTCAGCCAGGTCTGTTTTGGTTGGTTGGATTTCAACATTCAACCGTAATACAACGAACAGGCTGATTCAGACGTCGGCCTTATAGGTCTGTGCGTGTGTTTTTCGTCGTTAGCTTCGCGACCGTGATAACCGGCTCATCCATGAAAATGACGTCAGTCTTGTGTGCATCGGTCTGTGTGTTTGTGCTCGTGGCTCAAAGTTAGATTCAACCATGCCGACCACACACACACACGCGATTATCCCGCCTCAAAGACGGGTGTCTTTTCATTGGTCAGCCGGTTGGCGCTGTCGATGCTAAGAATACACACCTTTTCGTATACCCTATGCATACCCCTTGGTGATCCTGTACTGTATGCTGTGTGCACCCTGTGCAGGTTCTCGAAGACGTGGACCACATCGAGAGGACGGACAGCACGACGGAGGAACAAGACGCCGTGGAGAGCGAGATGGTCGCCTTGTGCGTCAAGGGCTGCCGCTTCGGCATCCGACTCGGGAGCCTTTGCTCTAGGTATGAAGGGGAGACGCTAGAAGGAGACGGTGGTGGCACTCCTGTGTATGGTGATGGCCGGGTGGTTGGCGCAGCTGTCGTGTGGTGCTGTTGCTGGTGCGTGTACCATAGGAGGGGGTAACGGAAGGTCCCCCTCGGCCCCCTCTCTCCAGGCTGCTTGCTTTCCGAAGACCTGACGACACGGGAGGTATTATTTAGTTGATCGCATTTCTAGTTTTGGTTGTCAGGGAGGAAATAGAGTACATCTACAAGTATTGCATTCCCAGCTTTCTTTGCCCAAAGTTTGATGCCAATGGGATGTATACGAACGAGCACAGCGACGGCGATGAGACCGTCGTCTCACACGAGGTAGCGATTGCTTGCGCCGCTCTTTTTTTTGTTTTTGTCAGGTGGGCCGGCGGAGAAGGCGAGGGAAGCATCGCGAGGGAGACCTTCGTTAACAGCCTGGCCAAGTTCACGCTGCTCGACACCGTCAAGGAGATGAGGCCCAAGAGCATCGCCTGCGTTAGGGCTCTGGTGGATATCGCTCTAGAGGACGGCAACTTCTTGTCGGAGTCGTGGGGGTCGGTGCTGCGGTACATCAGCCAGCTCGCCAGGCTGCAGGCAAGTCGTGCTCGGTGCTCGTGGTTTTTTTATTGTTGGCCGCTCTGTTGTGAGTGATTGAATTGTTTGGTGCTGTCATTGTTGCTGTTGTTGTTGTTGTTGTTGTTCTTCTTGTTGGTGGTGGTGTTGTTGTTCCCGATGTGGTTCAGGGGACCGACCTTGCGACGCTCTTAGTTCGATCGAAGGGCTGGATCGACAGCGTTGACTAAGGTAGCGGATTATCCCTTCCGATGCACGACCAAGGGGCGGCATATCCCAGCGAACCAACAGCGAAAGAAACACCACCCTGGTCTTTGTTCGAACACAGACTAAAATGGCGTCTATTATCGTCCAACCCTTGAACCATGCCTCGCAGCTGTTCGCCAGCGGCCTCCACACGGATGCCCAGCGAACCAGCAACAACAGAAGCCTGCATCCAACCTATCGAACGTTGCCTTGTACGAGTTACAAACTAATCGTGTCAACTACCGTCCAACCCTTAACCCTCCCTGGCAGCTGTTCGCCAGCGGCCTTCACACAGACGACCACTTCTTCACCTCCGAGGTAGGCGGGGGTGGCGGCGGCGGCGGTGCCGGCGGTATCGGTGGTATTCCGGGCAGCAGCACGCACTCCGTCATGCGCGATCAGCAGCAGGGCGGGGGCAGATCATCATCCGTGGACGGCGGCATCGCGGGGAGGATGACTAAGAGCGGCATGTTCACAAGGGTGAACCCCACCGAGCAAGCCAGGGATGTCGAGAGGATGAACGCCGAGGTACGATAGTACTACTGCTGTACAGCATGATTTTTTCTCCTGTTTTTTTTTTTTTTTTTGCATCGACCGCGCTAACCGGATGACCAATGAAAATACGTCAGTCTCAGTACGGTTGAAAACAGAAAATGCCAATAGATGCCATGATCTGGGACCCCGTGAGTTCTGTATGTCTTTTTTTTTTTTTTCTCATGATTTTATATGTGTTGAGTGTTTTTTTTTGGCTACTGGCATCAACCCGGGTAGCCGGACCGGACGAACGCAAACCCTCAAAACCTTAAGCGGAAAAAAAAAGACACCAAGTTAGTTTCCTTTTGTCCGTCTCCATTGTATTGGGTTTAAAAGGCGGGAAGTGATATCGATAGGATAGATAGACTAGGGAAGACGTTTTTGAGCCGCCTTTGGCAAAGTAGGAAGGAACGAGTGGCCATCGGTGATCGGTCCTGTGGGAACCATGGTCCGTCCTCTCGAGTACGCGTGGTCAATGGTCTAACCGCTAAGGCATGCAAAACATAAGAGTACGCCCCCCCCCAACGGATCGTTCATATTTTGCCTGTGTTTCTCGACGTTCGTGTACCCCTGCGGCCGCCTTTACTTGGATCTGTGTGTATTGCCGACTTTTGTGTGTTGCGCAGGCCGTGTCGCTGGCAGTGGACCCGGCTATGATCGACCGGGTGTTCAGCAATTCCCCTAGCCTGAGCACGGAGGCGGTGAAGCACTTCGTCATGCAGCTCTGCGCCGTTTCCAGCCAAGAGGTCAACCACAGCGCTGCCACTTTCAGGTGATGGGGGCAGAGCAAGAGAGGGAGGGAGGGAAGGAGAGAGAGAGAGAGAGAGAGAGAAGAGAGAGAGAGAGAGAGAGAGAGAGAGAGAGAGAGAGAGAGAGAGAGAGAGAGAGAGAGAGAGAGAGAGAGAGAGAGAGAGAGAGAGAGAGAGAGAGAGAGAGAGTTGTGTTTTGTGTTGTGTTGAGCCGTATCATGGCAATCCTCGCTGAGAGTATTTTGCCGTCCCTCCGTGGGATTCCTGCATCCTTGAACCGATTCGGTTTGATCGGAGTTTGGTCAACACAAGAGTAATCCTCTGCGATGTTTGCCTTTCTTTCGACGAATAAACAAAGAAACACGTGATGCAAGTAGGGAGAGAAGAATGCACGGGTAGTACCCACGGAGAGAACTGCCAGAGATATTGCTTTGCTGTCATTGTAAGAACGAACTCTGCTTTCTTGTCGTCCTTTTCTTGACAAAGGCGTTTGTAGCATACTCTTAACGATCCACACGAGCGGGAAACAGACACCGTGGCACGCTATTTCGACGTGGCATCAACAACAAAAACACCACCAACACAGCAATAACAGTAACATTTAACAATGGAATCCAACAACGCTTGTCGCCAGGTCGAAGGATATCCTGGGAGACATGTCGCAACCGAGAATCTTCTGCCTCCAGAAGCTTGTGGAGGTGGCAGACTTCAACATGGACAGCCGCGGCCGTATCGTCTGGGCCCACGTTTGGGGGGTGCTGGGGGAGCACTTCAGCAAGCTGGGCGCCCACCCTAACCGATACGTGAGTTCTGATTGGCTTATTAGTGAGTAGAAGGAGCCAATTTTCTTTTGTCCCCAAGATTGGTAGATTTTTCGACCTTCTGGACCGCTCTCTTCGGAGTTGCTGCACCAATCCGTTGTCCGCCCCCCCTTGTGCCATGGGATCCACATCATACCATGGTATCCACACCCTAGCAGACAAAACGGAGGGTTTCTCCCCTTTTTTTTTGTCGTTGACCCCGTAGATAGAGAAAAGTACGGTGGAGATGTCTTGTGTGGTATCTGTACCTATACAGTGATGTTGTGATGAGCACCTGCTGGCATCACTGATGGAATTTTTTCAGTGTACAGGCTTCAATAGACTCCAAACAAGCCCAGTACCCAGCCGGGGTCCCTCCATTCACTGTAAAGACTTGAACACGTCCCGTTCGATTGGTCTTATCTCGAATGGGTATTATAGTCTTTCTGTGCTTGCATTTATGTTTCCTAAGACAATCCTCACCCTAGCGAACCCTCAACCCCGTCTTGCTGCCAAGTCATCCATGGTGCTTGCGCCGCTCGCAACTCTGCCTGTTGCCCTAACCGCCTCAAAATCGTCACCCCGTTCACACCGTTCACACCGTTCACACCGTTCACCCCGTTCACACCGTTCACACCGTTCACACCGTTCACACCGTTCACACCGTTCACACCGTGCTCCGGGCAAACCGTTGTCTTTGCGTCACTCTTGGCTCTGCTCTTTCCTAACGCTAGCCCTACACTCCCTAACGCTAGTCGTTGATACCTGTAAAGCCCCGTCGTGACCCTTCCCCCCACCGCACTCCCAACCCTCCTCCTACTTGAAATCTCATCACGGCCCTACAACGACTCCACCCTCACCCAGGTGGCGGAGTACGCCGTGGACTCGCTCAAGCAGCTGGCGCTCAAGTTCGTGTACAAGAAGGAGCTCGAGGGCTTCAACTTCCAGCGCCTCTTCCTGTGCCCCTTCGAGGCCGTGTTCGTCGCCACCCAGCACAAGGAGATCAAGGTGCTGGTCATGGACTGCATCCAGAACCTCGTGCAGGCCCGCTCGGCGCACATCCGCTCGGGCTGGAAGAGCATCTTCTCGGTGCTGGCCCTGGCCGCCAAGGACGGGAGCGGGGGGCTCGCGTTCCCGCAGCAGTCGTGGGGCGTGCTCAGCAGGCTCGTGGACAAGGAGATGCACTCCCTGGTGCACGACTTCCTCGACGTGATCAAGGTGCGTGAGGGTATTTATTTATTTATTTAGTTTTGTTGCCTCGCGTTGTTTTTTTTACGCAAGGTGTGTGTGTTTGTGTGTGTTTTATTATTAGCATCGACCGCGCTAACCGGCTGACCAATGAAAAGCCGTCAGTCTTAGTACGGTTGAAAACACAAAACACTTCTTTCTGCCATGAACGTGTGTGTGTGGGTGTGGGTGTTTTTTCCCTTCTTCTCGCTTGTGCTTGTGTTTATTGTCCGTGTTGTTTGTAGATAACAAGGACACGAGGGAGTGGATTTCTCGTGCTGGTTTGTGTGTGTTTTTGTTTTTTTGTTGTACACGGCAAGAAACGGAACGGTTTTTCAATGTGAAGACACCAAGATATGCATGGCCAGAAAAGGAGGTGGCTGGTCGTCCTCACGGCTCCAAATTTGGTGGATTTGTGGTCTGTCCTTTCCCTTCCTTCGCGGTACCTCTTTTTGTCTGCTCTGCTGCGCTGTTTCTTTTTGCCTGGTTGCTCTTCTGTCTGGGAGTTTCCGGGCTTTTTTAGCTGATCAACAGGTACGGAGTACTTGATTCTTTCATGATTTCCGCCTCAAAGGCTTTTTTTTTTTTTTTGCATTCTTTGGCTCGGTTGGTGGGTGTAATTTTGGTTTATCATTTGATTGTTTGATTACAGTACAGTACTCGATTTCTCCCAAGTTTTCGACTCACTTGCTTGTGTGATGGTTGTTTGATCCCTTGCCGCACCAGTGCCTCGTGGCTTTTGTCGAGGGACCGGACACCGACCTGGCCCTCCAGTCCATGGAAAAGCTCAAGGCCTGTGCCGAGCACCTGGTTACCGGCGATCTGCACATACTGCCTCCGGTGAGTTGGTTAGTTAGAAGTTAGCCCGCGTTTTTTTGTCCGTTGCTGTGCTCAATAACCGTTGAAGTGGTTAGGTCTTGGTTGTGTTGTATGCATGGCTGTCGGCGCGTACGTTACGAGAATGCGTTCTACCTTACGTGTCGCTTTTGATGATGCCGTTTTTCATTGCTTTCGACACAAGAAATCAACCCAACCCAGAAGCGACGAGGGAGACATGCAGGCCACCTCAATCTTGCTGCCACAAAGCGTAACTTCTAACTAAAATCTACAGTACTCAGCAGCGGCTAGAGAGCGATAGAGACCCTTCCGGTACAATATCCAATCCCTATTACAGTATAGTATAGGGTGTTCGCTTGACACAGTCGGGTGTGTGTCGGGCTGGACTTGATTGAACGGCACATGCAACAGTTAGCAGTATCCTCGTTTTGGGAGATTTGGTTCCGTCCCTTCCATCATCGTGGCTTCAATATATTGAGCTGCTGCTGCTGTCGTTGGTGGCACGGCAGCCAGAACCGACAAACAGAGTGCGATCGCTGTGCTGACCTGTCTCGCGCGGCGTTTGTGTCTGTTCACCGGACCCGTAGGCCCTCCACGGGCACGTTAGCACCGGCCAGAGCGCCGCAGCAGACGCCGTTGCCGCCGCTGCCGAGTCTGGGAACGCCGGGCAGGAGCTCGTGTACCTACAGGTAATTTTGAGGATCAGCGTAGCCTTTACCAACGTGTAGTTTTGAAGGTAGCGTAGCTTGAAAAAGTGCAATTTTGAGGGTTAGCGTAACCTTAAAAGTGTAATTTTAAGGGTCAGCGTAGCGTAAGAAAAAGTGTAATGTTGAGGGCGTAGCCTTGTGAAGTGCAATTATGGGGCCGGGTTTGATCAGTCAGAGGGGTTCAAGAGCGTTCGTTTTTCGGCTAAGTCGAATGCCGCTTTCGCTGGCATGTTTGTGCCCCACGACTGGTGCGGCGATGGGTGAGCGAGCACGGACACCTGCCGTTGCTAGTACTGCTCGTACTGCTAGTAATGCTAGTAATGCTGTTTATGCCTGTTTTAGCGTGGGTGTGTATGGCGCCTAATTTTTGATACGATTACGATTCGCAAAGAGTGACCTTATAGCGCGGCAGGGAGTGTTTCCCGCCGAGTTGGGGACTGGGTAAAGCGGTACAAGTTCCCCCATTACCCCACAATTTATTGTCGGACTCCTACCCACTGCTGCCCGCGATATCCTGTCACCCCCCCCCCCCCCCCCCCCCCCCCCCCGGGGGGGGGAGGGGGCCCCCCCTTTTTGGGGGGGAAAAAAAAAAAAAAAAACCCCCCCCCCCCCGCGCGGGGGCCCCCCTTTCTCCCCCCCCCCTAATAAAAAAG